GCAGCCCCGTCCCTGGGTAGTAGGAGGAGGAGGAGGAGGAGGAGGACGACGCAGCCCCGTCCCTGGGTAGTTGGAGGAGGAGGAGGAGGAGGAGGAGGAGGACGACACAGCCCCGTCCCTGGGTAGTTGGTGGAGGACGGCACCGTGTGGTTGCTGGTGTCGTTGACTGTTTTTCTCGGTGTCTTAGTATCACAGGGTGACAGTAAACATTCAGCTCACAGGTTTTGTGGAGATAGATGCAGGAGACTCTTGAGCGAGTGGTCTGGCTCCTGTGGATGCTCTGGTCGAGGGAAGGCTGGTGCTGAGCGTCCCCAGGAGCCCGTGGCATGGGCTCTGCACTGCGTGAGGGGCTGAGGCTTGTGTCCACAGCAGTACCTGCTGCTCAACCCCGTCTCCTGCTGTGTGGGTGCCCACTCTGCATCTGCCTCTCAGGATGGGAGTCAGCCGGGCTCCAGGGGCAGGGCTGTGCCTTGCTGTGTCCCTGCTCTCGGGCGTCTGGGGTTTGCGGCTGTCCTTGTCCCCAGGTCTCTGCCGGGTGTGAGGTCACTGGTGTGGCCCATGGGAATCGGGAACGCATCCTGGCCGGACTCTCAGGCGTCTGAGGCGTGGGGCTGCCCTTGTCCCCAGGCCCCTGCCAGGTGTGAGGTCAGTGATGTGGCCCGTGAGAATCGGGAGCGGGCCCTCATGGGTGTCTCAGGCAGCGGGGTTGCTCCCCTGCCCTGCCAGGTGTGGTGGGTACTCAGTGTGGAGCAGCGACCCACTGTGGGGTCCCTGTTGCCATCAGGTAGCCCCCCGGACGGAGGTGTCCCTGCAGTGGGGTATGTGAGTGTCCCCATGTCCAGTTGGAGGTGTCCCTGCATTGGGTGTGTGAGTGTCCCCATGGCCGGTTGGAGCTGTCNTGTCCCTGCAGTGGGGTATGTGAGTGTCCCCATGTCCAGTTGGAGGTGTCCCTGCATTGGGTGTGTGAGTGTCCCCATGGCCGGTTGGAGCTGTCCCTGCAGTGGGGTATGTGAGTGTCCCCATGTCCAGTTGGAGGTGTCCCTGCATTGGGGTGTCTGAGTGTCCCCATGGCCGGGTGGACGTGTCCCTGCAGTGGGTGTGTGAGTGTCCCCATGGCCAGGTGGACATATCCCTGCAGTGGGTGAGTGTCCCCATGGTCGGGTGGATGTGTCCCTGCAGTGGGTGTGTGAGTGTCCCCATGGTCGCGTGGACGTGTCCCTGCAGTGGGTGAGTGTCCCCATGGCCGGGTGGACGTGTCCCTCCAGTGGGTGTGTGTGTGTCCCCATGGCCAGGTGGACGTGTCCCTGCAGTGGGGGTGTGAGTATCCCCCATGGCTGGGCTGAGGTGGCCTCCACGGTGGATCAAGTGTGTGGCCCCCCCACGGTGACTTTCCCTGTCCTGGTTGAGGGCAGCTGGCCTCGGCGCCATGGGCCCTAGAGAGGCCCTTGCTGTTGGTCCCGTGTCCGGGTGGAGGAGGTGTCGGTGGCTCCCAGCTTCTAACCGAGTGCTTCTGTCGACTCGTCAGGTCCAGACGCTGAAGCAGGAGCCTCTGCCCCCGGCCACGAGCCAAAGCATTCCGACCTTCTACTTCCCCAGAGGACGCCCGCAGGACTCCGTCAACGTGGATGCCGTCATCAGCAAGATCGAGGGCACCTTCGCCCAGTTCCCCCAGGAGAGGGCCAGCATGGACGACATGGGCCTGGTGGCTAAGGTGTGTGTCACACGCGTGGAATGCGGAAAGGTCGTGGGGGTGCCGTGGGCGTGAGGGTGAGGTGGAGCGGCCGACGTGGTGCTGTGGGTGTGTGAGGGTGACGTGGAGCGGCTGACGTGCCGTGGGCGTGAGGGTGACGTGGAGCGGCCGACGTGGTGCCGTGGGCGTGAGGGTGACGTGGAGCGGC